ACTCCCACCCCACTCCATCGACCATCCCCCACCCCTCCCTCCCATACCCCTCTCCCACTCCCACCCCATCGACATCCCCACCTCCCTCCCTCCATAGCCCTATCCCACGCCCCACCCCATGACACCCGCCCCCCCAAAGCCCTCTCCCACCTCCACCTCCACTCTCCCCTCCACAACAAATCACTGACAAATCACAGCCCTCCCCTCTCTGCCTTAGTTTCCCCTCCCACCCTTAGGCTATTTAGACCGTGGGCTCTTTGGGGCAGGGACTGTTTCCCACTGTGTGTCTGTGCAGCACCCAGCGCAACAAGGCCCTGATCTCATTTGAGGCCTGTAAGTGCCAGGATAACACAGAATAACAACAGATTCCCCCGCCAGACTCATCCCAAGGGGGGGAGTGACGGGTGTGCGCGGGCACCTGGCTCCGACCTGGGGGCAGCTGCCATTTCTCGTGTGTTTCCAATGCCCGAGGCTTCCCCTCTCCCGAGGCCCAGGCCTCACCTGGCTCTTCAGGGACACGATGCAGGTCCTCAGCTTCTGAATGTGTATGGTCAGCTCCGCGATCTCCCGCCGGCCGCTGAAGAGCTGGTCCCTGTATGTAGCGGAGTGGGTGGCTCCTTCGTTCAGCTGCAGGGAAGAGATGAGACGGCGTCACCCCCTCCCCGCTTTGCAGCCGCGCCTGGGATTCTGCAGGGAGCTGGTCCCTCGTGGGTGCCGGGGACAGACACTGTCTAGCTCTCTCGTCTCTCTCACTTCCCCTTGCCCCTCTTCTTTCTCCACCACCTCTCTGTCTATCTACCGCTCACCAACCCCCATGGTTTCTAGGCAGGCTCTCTCCTGCTCCCCCACACCAATGGCTTTGCATCATGTCTCCCACGAGAGAGAGCCATGTACCTTGCTCCAGGTAAGGGCTTCTGCCTCCTCCCAGCTCCTGAAAGCGAGGGCTTCATACTGCGCCCTCACTTCCTCCACGATGCGGCTCAGGTCAAGGTTGCATCTGTTATCGATCCCCATGACGATGGAGATGTCCTTGATTTCTGCCAGCAGCTCCTGAAGCTCCTGGATGGCGGGGAGGAGAGGAGAGGAAAACTGAGCAGACACGTATGTCAGCTGTGCGGGGCCAGCCCAATCCATCCCATACGCAGCTGGGAGGTGGGAAGTTTTCATAAGTCAAGGCGCAGGTTTGCAAACCCCACCATGGAGTGGTTTGGCTCTGGTGTCCTGCTTAATTCACCCAACCCTCCCCACGGTTTGGGCTGGGGCTCAGAGAAGTGGCTCTGGGTTTGGCCATTGCTGGGATTTCTAATTCTCCCAGACCCTGGGCAAAATGATGTGCTCGTGTCTCATGAGAGCACTAGTGGGTGTTGGTTGATTTAGCAAGTGTTTGTGGTCATGTCAATACCCAGCTGCTGTGCTCATCTGCAGTGGGCAAGTGGGGTAGGGGCCATGGGGGTGTGAATTAATGGGAGAGCTGTGGAACTCATTGCCAGGGGATGCTGTGAAGGCCACAAGCATATAAAAACATTAGATAAGCTCATGGAGGATAGATCCATCGATGGCTATTAGCCAGGATGGTCAGGGACGCAACCCCATGCTCTCTAAGCCTCTGATGGCCAGAAGATGGGACTGGATGACAGGGGATGGATCACTCGATAATTGCCCTGTTCTGTTCATTCCCTCTGAAACATCTGGTACTGGCCACTGTCGGAAGACCGGTGTAGCGGAGCGGTCACCCCGCTCCAGCCCTGAAAGGGTTAAAAGCCAGCCCTTGGAGAGGGCTGGGGCTGAGAGCCAATAAGAAGAGGCGGGGAGGCAGCCAATCAGGGCCAGGCTGGGCCCTATAAAAGTGTTGCAGAGCCAGAAGGCAGTCAATCTCTCTCTAGCTTGGGAGCGAGAAGGACCTAGCTGCCTGGGAGCACAAGGGTACCTGGAGCGGAGCAGGGCTGGGGAAGGGCACAAGGAGCCGGGGAGCTCCTGCCTGGCAACTCCCCAGGCTGAGGCCTTGGTAAAGGCCTAAGGAGGTACTGGGACTGCAGAGGTGCAGCCCAGGGATAGGCCGAGGCAGCTGGTCCAACCCCCTTGCCTGTGATGAGTGGCCATGACAGACTGCAGTTTGTCCCAGAAAAAGGGGGCTAGATGACGACTGGCAGTAGCCACTGAGGCAAGGTGGGCATAGGAGGTGGAGGTTCCCCTGGGAGGGGGACCCAGAGCGTGGGGGCACTGCTGTGGGGCAACACCCCAAGATAAGAGGGCAGCGGGGTCTGGGAGGGACACGGGCCCTGTGGCAGGCGAGACAGTAGGAGGCGCCGAGCCGGTGAGTCTGCGATCTCTTACAACAGGATATGGGGCTAGATGGACCATTGGTTTGACCCAGTGTGGCCATTCTTATGTTCTTAGCTAGCGAGTTTGTGCCAGATACCTGCTGACATACTGTGGCGGCCCACGGACTTCAGGGCTGACTCTGGACTGTACCACATGCCCCCCTGGGACTCCATACCAATGCTATAGATAGAACGGGGGTCCACATGCTGCAGCAAAGGCCCCTGAGCGCTTAAGAAGAATTGCCATTAGCTCCTGACACTATACAGCCTATGACACATGCCTGCCATCCAGTAGAGGGCAGTGTGGCGCTTGCACACGTCGCAAAGCTAAGGTGGCCATGTGTCCTTGGTTATAGATGCCCTCCATGAGGAAACTGTCGGTGGCATGGGGTTGCTACCGTCTCAGGATTACAGTGTCTAGCAGCCGGACACAGGACTAGAAAGCTTTTCTCTGGGAATACAGCCGAACTAAAGGGAGCTCTCCATTGTCCACCACTCAATATTGAGCCATCGCCCGTCACCGCCACCCAAAGGGTAAATGGGGACTATATGTCCTATGCCCTCTCCTGCCCATGAGAAGGTGTGACTCCATCCAACACTGGGCAGTTGTGGTCTGCACATATCAGCCCGTATCCACGTGTTGCAACTCCTGACTCCGGGGTGTTTGTTCTTGATGACTCAGGGGAAGTGACAACGGATGCAGACATGGTTCAGCAAATCAAAAAAGACACCCTAATCTGTGTTAGGAAACCACACTCCTGTGCCGTTGGTACTCAGACAAGACCCAGCCTGAAGGGATCGTAAGCTAGTGGAATGTCCGATAAGCCTCTTTCACTCTGCCTCTCACTGTAGGTCTCATTTTCCTCTCATGATGGCGTAACACGACTGATTTCAGTGGGGTTACTCCTCGTTTACCCCTTTGCACTCAGTCTCTGCATTTTCGGCCTTTTGTCCCCGTCAACGTGCTTTTATTCCACGCTTTTGTAGCCCTTGTATCCGAAGGCTTTGCTAGAAGGTAGGGCACTTATGGCTTTGTTTGCGTTACCTCTCCCTGATTGGGGGAACAATGATTGGGACTGGATGGATGATTCATCTGTTACCGGTGACAAATCTCTTTCCATGAACAGGATTTTAAGTGTATTTCTTCCCCATTGAGGCTTGATCCCCAGGTAAATGTATAGGGGTTGTTACAGGAAAGGTTAATGTGGGAGAATTCATATGCTGGAGCAGTTTCCATGCACAAAGGGCCTGATTCTGTTCACATTCACACCAGTATAAATCAGGAGTAACTCAGCAGTGCTACTTGTGACTGCCCCCGTTATAAGGGTGAGCAGAATCAGGTAAGTGGAGTTAGAAGGCTGTGAAACAGACGTGAGAGCAGAATCGTGCCCAAGAACTTTTCTTCTAGTGCGGCTGTCGTTACAGAATAACAGAAGAAACCAATTCAAACTAGGGGCTAGGTTGCGTATCAGTTACCTCAGGGAGAACTAGGGGTGGTTCAAAAAGGGGGATTATTTCATGTTCAAATTTTTTTGGTGGATTTTCCTGACTATTTGACAAATCAATTCCAAAGGAAAGTTTTTCATTGAGAAGAGAACCAAGTTTTTCTCTCCCAGCAGAGTACGCTCCCGGAGGCTGAAATAGAATGCAGGAATCTTGACTCCCAAGTCCCACTCGCTCTAGGCTATATTCCCACAGGTGGGGACAGAACCCAGAAGTCCTGACTCCCCCTTGCTCTAACCACTAATCCAGATTTACCAGACCAGCAGGACCAACAAAAACAACTCCGTAAGTTATGATAGAAGTCCCAGAAGACATTATAATGCTGTTAAAGGGACCTTTCACTATCAATTTTGAATTGTACCAGGGAAAAACTATGCACAACAGATTTATAACATGGCTAGGGTATGTCTATACCACACTCTAAGCCCAAGTTCTCCTGTAGGTTTGAGCCCAAGTCATCCTCCTGTCCACACACAAATCAATCTGACTTGAGTCAGCAAGCACTCATGACCCAGGTCCTCTGACCCTGCTCGGGAGATAGGTCAGAACCCAAGTCTTGTCATTCTGCAGTGTGGCCACAACTCTAGCTGAAGACTCAGGGCAGAAGGTCTACGCAGAGTAGTGTGGATGCGTTAACATGACTGTGAGAGCCGGATCTGGCAAATGTAAACCCAGGTTTCCAATTCAGTGTGGCCGCTCAAGCGTGGGCTTGGGCACACCAACGCGGTCCTCCAGACCCAAGTTTACAATGCCGTGTAGACATACCCTTAGAGACGTTCCCCCATAGCTCTTGCCATAGAAGAAAGATTTGTTCCCTCGGCCCCTGTAGCTTTGGAAAAGGGGAGGCAAAGCGAGGGATCCAGGAAACAAGATCCTTGACGTCAAATAGCTCCACAAAGGTTGCTAGAAAAGTGGCTTAACCTGAAAACAGGCTCGGTTTGCGGAACGGCCGGGGCAGGTATAATTTCTTTGCATAAAGGGTGGATGAAAGAACACGACGGGCTGCCAAAGTCAACAGTGTGAATCCCAACAGAAATGAATTCAAGAAGAGGCTGGGAACGTAGCGAGGGGCGCATACAGCCAGGCCAGTAGGAGCTGCGGTGGACAGTGACGGCTTCCTCCCGTCTCTATGACATCCTTTTCCAGCAGCGCAGCCAGCACTGGGAGACAGCCTGGCAGCTTATAAAGTCAATCAGGAGGCAGTACGGTCTAGTGGCTAGGACACAGGTCTAACCCTCCAGAAACCTGAGTTTTAGTCCCAGTGCACGGCTGGGTGATGTGTGCTGCAGTTCCCCCACCTATAAAACAGGGAGAATGTTCCTGGCCTGCTTTGGAAAGCACTTGGCGCTTTACTGTTGAAAAGCAGAGTCTTTTTCACTTGCATGTTACAATGGTACATCAGCACCACGCAACTGAGAATCAGCTGCATTCTCTGGGTCAATTCACTGAGGCGGAGGCTGTGTTGTTAAGGTACCGACTTTCTTCTTTCTGGGTGGGTGCTCCACCCCCGCTCTACCCCGAGGCCTCACCCCCCACTCCATCTTTCCCCCCCAAGGCCCCACCCTTGCCCTGCCTCTTCCCACCCTGCCCTGCCCGCTCCCCGAGCACGCCCCGCCTTTGCTCCTCCTCTTCCCGCCCTGCCCCACCTCCTCCCCGAGCACACCCCGCCTTTGCTCCACCTCTTCCCGCCCTGCCCCGCCCCCTCCCCGAGCACACCCCGCCTTTGCTCTGCCTCTTCCTGCCCCTGCTCTGCCCCCTGCCCCCCAACGCCTCCCACCCACTGCCGAGCAGCTGATCGGCGGGTGGCTGGTGGGTACCAGGCACCCACTATTTTTTTTCTGTGGGTGCTCCAGCACCCACAGAAGTTGGCGCCTAGGCAACACTCCTGGTGCGAGTTTGAAGGAGACTATCGCTCAGCATGCTTCCGAAATGGAAGGGCCAGGCCCATTCCTTGGAGAGCGGCCTATTCCGGGTGCTTCGGAGGAAGGTTGAACAAGGTTAGAAGGCACCTGTTGTGTTATAAAGTACCATAGAGGCGCTGCGGATAAGGGTGCTGGTTGAGGATTCCCTCCCGATCCCAGCTGGAGACAAGTATATGCCTTGCAGCACTGAGCTTGTAAAATCATCCTAGCTAGCTTAACTGCAGATGCAATTCTATTGATGCTAATATGCCTTAATCCCCTTCCTTTGACTCTCGCTAAGCTATTTCCCTTAGCAATATCCCGTTACGAAAATGACACAGGCCACGTCTACACTGTGATAAGTGACCCGTGGCATGGCCGGGACTGGCCCGGGGCAGCTGACTTGGGCTGCGGGGCTATCGAATTGCAGTGTAGACTTTCGGGCTTGGGCTGGAGGCTGGGTTCTCAGACCCCGGGAGTGCAGAGGGTCTCAGACCCCCGGCTCCAGCCTAAGGCCAAACCTCTACACTGCAGTCGGTAGCCCCCGGAACCCGAGTCAGCTGTCCCGGGTTCTAAGACTTGATGCCGTGAGTTTTTGTATTGCAGATATACGCACAGAGGTAGTTCTATTCAGTGGGCCAGACTTTTGATCTCATTGAGAATGGCGTAAATCTGGAATGACCCCAAGGAAATCAGTGGGCCAAATCCTGCTCCTACTCAATGGAAATCAGGAACAATGCCCCAGTGCAGCAAAGGGCCTAAGCGTGTGCTTAACCTTAAGCATGCTCTGCAGTGCAACGAAGCACTCAGCAAATGCATACGGCCCATCACACATGCTTCCGGGACTTTGCTGAATCGGGGCCCAACTGGGTCACCATCAGTGAAGTTAGACTGATGTACCATTGCTGAGAGAAGAAATCAGACCTAATGGAGTTACTTTGGGTTTACAATAGCGTAACTGAGATCAGAACCTGGCCCTGTGACGGTGTAGAAGGTTAGACCTCTCTGGCACGCCCTTGGGGAGAGGGTAAAATACAGAAAAGGTCAAGAGACTTCTGCAGCCCACCAAAGGTAGACTCCAGAGTCTTTGGAAAGCCAGGGGAACAAGAGACCAGAACTGACCTCTCTCCTTTCTGAGAGGGCCTGGATGGCCAAGGCGCTCAAGTGGTGTTCGCAGTCAGAAAGCTCTTAGTCCAGGGGCTGGCGAGCTCTGAGGTGCAGCCCTGCTCCTTCAGCGTACCACTCCCCGCCCCTCTCCAGGCTTGACACATCTCACAGCTGCGTGGGGTTGGCACTGATTGTGCCCATTGCATTTCCCCCCAAAACAAACAATTCGGCACAACGGACATAAATTACCCGACGTTTTGGTGCTGCCGAAATTGCATTTTTCGCCAAAAAGAAAGTATTCCGCTGAAAAATTTTGCCCAGCTCCACCAGCCTCGTTGCACACACTTAGGCATCTGGTCTTATAGCTGCTTCTTACCTGCTCGTATACGGCTTTCTTTAACTCCATCAACTCTTGAAGCCCCTGCAGTTTTACCTCTAGCTCGGTTCTATGCATGGAACCAGCGTCTAAATCCTGTGGGACAAAGAAGACATATCAGCGCTAGTAACAAATGATCTGTACATTGGACTCTGACTTGTGCCTTGGGGCGAGAGATCTTCTCCATTGTGCACTGATTATCCAGTCCTGGGACAAAGCAGTGTCCTTTGGGGATACTATCCATCCATTCTGCAGGATGGTGGATGTTGCTGGTGGGACCTTGCTTTGCTGCTCCCATTGAGGGTGGGTGATTTGAGAAGAAGACCTCTAGATAACATTTCATTTTGTTAGTGCTTGAGTGCAGGGAAGGAGGTAGGGCATAGAACATGAGAATGACCATATTGGGTCAGACCAAAGGTCCATCTAGTCCAGTATTCTGTCTTCCGACAGTGGCCAATGCCAGGTGCCCCAGAGGGAATGAACAGAACAGGGAATCATCAAGTGATCCATCCCCTGTCACCCATTCCCAGTTTCTGGCAAACAGAGGCTAAGGATATCATCCCTGCCCATTCTGGCTAATAACCATTCCATAAAAGGAAACAAGCAGGACTGGTCCATAAACAGTCATCTTTTAATCATAAGGAAAAGCAGAGATTGTTGAAAACACTGATGCAATAAACAGAAACCACACAAACTGCCCCTACCAGGCCATGAGCACGCTTGGGAACAACTTATAATTAACAATAACAATCATTTATGGTGAGCATTTTCCACAGCTCCTAACACCCTACCTTTCCTTGCCCAAGATTCCAAACCCATATACACAACAATTGATTTCCACTCACTCGTCACAAGTGCAGCTGCCTCTGGGGTAGAACCTGGTGGCTGTTTAGCAGGGCCTGGCTGCACTACACTTCTGCCACTGGTTTTCAACCTTTCCATACGGTGATCTCATGTAGAGAAATGTTTCAGGATGCCCCTGAAGGGAAGGTGGTTACGACCCATCCTTGCGACCCTACTGGATCATGACCCCAGGCGGAGACCCCAGGGTATATGCAACTGAAACAGCACAGGAATCTTGTCTGATAGAATTTGGCCAAGACACGGCAGCTAATACTCCATGCTTTTGCACCAAATGCTATGCGGTCTTTAGCAACCACAGGTGCTCAGGTCCTTACTTGTGTATGGTTCATTTCAAAATGCATCACCTCCACCAGTCTGTGGTCCTCCTGGCCCAGGTTGTCATCTACTGGGCCCCTGCCTTTAGCGCTGTAGGGAAATGGCTACACAACAAAAGAGCCCAAGTGAACTGGCTCGGGCTGCAGGGCTAAAAATGGCCATGTAGATGTTCAGGCTTGGGCTGGAGCCTGGGTCTTGAGTCCCTCTCCCGGTTTCTGGTTTTCAGAACCGAGGTTTGAACGTCTATTTTAGCTCTGCAACTCACGGCTGCTGGTCTCTTTGTGCTGGGTAGCCATGCTCTAGGTTTCCTATAGGGGCAGGTCTCTCATGCAAACACAGAGCCAACCCAACCCTCTTATTGGTGCTTACCTGGCCCCCGTGAATGTAGTATCTGAGCGCCTCACCACGCTGCTGCTAGTCCCGTTTCACAGAGATCTGAGGCCCAGGTCCTCAAAGAAACCTGGGCATCTAACTTCCTTTGATATCAGTGGACATTAAGCACCTAAATATCTTTGAGGCCCTGCGCCAGAAAAACGAGGTGACTTGCTCAAGGCCACGCAGCAAGTCTGTGGCAGAGCAGAGACTCAAATCCAGGTCTCCTGAGCCCAGGCTGGGGCCCTAACCACTAGACACTCCTTCCACTGCAAGTGCATCTTTGCTGTAGATGCGCACACAGCCCTGTGAAGATGAATGGCCACTTACCCTTTTCAGCTCCACGAAGGTGAATTCCAAGCCACTCCGTTTATGTATTTCATCCTCGTATCTACGGAGAGAGAAGCAGATTGGTGTGAATCCCGGCAGGACGAAGCTCAATTCTGTATTGGAGATCTTGGGGTCGCTTTGTTTATTACAGTAGCACCTAACGCCTCTTGTACCAATACATCAATAAGAGTCACAGTGATCCCCAGACAGCTTACAGACAAACTGTGGGAGGGGAAGTGGCTGGTCCAGCCAGAAATAGAACCAAGGTCTTCTGAACCCTAGGCCAATGGTCTCCTCATTGGCCCACCCTGCATCCAGGGGACCAAATTCCCCATTTGCCTCTCTCGAAAGGGAACAACCCAACCCAGTCCAGCAATGGCAGCCTTCCTTCAACTTCCATCAGCGTGGCAAAGATAAAGGGCCATTTAAAGGAAATGATGGACACCCTTTTGTGACGTTATTGATATGAACAGTGACCGTATAGCTCATTGGTGCAACCAAGGTTATGATTTGCTGGTTACGATTATGCTATCTCAGGGGTAGGCAACCTATGGCACACGTGCCGAAGGTGGCACACGAGCTGATTTTGAATGGCACTCACACTGCCCGGGTCCTGGCCACTGGTCTGGGGAGCTCTGCATTTTAATTTAATTTAAAATGAAGCTTCTTAAACATTTTAAAAACCTTATTTACTTTACATACAACAATAGTTTAGTTCTATATTATAGACTTATAGAAAGAGATGTTCTAAAAACCTTAAAATGTATTACTGGCACGCGAAACCTTAAATTAGAGTGAATAAATGAAGACACGGCCCACCACTTCTGAAAGGTTGCTGACTCCTGTGCTATCTGAATGCATGTATCATGTTGTATTTAAAGTTATAAGAATTGGCTCTATACTGCCTGTATTTCAAACTTGTGCTATGCTTCTGGGTGACACCCCAGACAATGTGGCATCAGCACTGCCTAGCCTGCCTGATGGCCCATTAAGGACCATCAGCTATACAAGTGACCCACTGAGAGAAGGCAGATACACTTTGTGACTCAGCAAGACATGCAGGGACAGGCCTATGGACCGAACTCTAAGGTTTTTTCATGCCATGTGCTGGGTAGCTTGTGTTCGGAACAAAGGAAGCACAGGTCGTATGGCAAAAAGACTATAAAAGGCAGCTGCATTATCTCCATTTTGTCTTCAATCCTGCTGCTTACCTCTGGAGGAACTTTGCTACAAACTGAAGCTCTAAACAAAGGATTGAATGACCCATCCCAGCTGGGGATGTTCCAGAGACTTGATTTAAACCTGTGGTTTATTCCATCGCTGCTACAAGCCTGAACCAAGAACTTTGCCATTACTGTATGTCATTGACTCCATTTAACCAATTTTGGCTCTCATCGCTATTTCTTTCTTTTTATGAATAAACCTTTAGATTTTAGAGTCTAAAGGATTGGCAACAGTGTGATTTGTGGGTAAGATCTGACTTGTATATTGACCTGAGTCTGGGGCTTGGTCTTTTGGGATCGGGAGACCCTTTTTCCTTTTACTGGGGTATTGGTTTTCATAACCATTCCTCCCCAAAATGAGTGGCGCTGGTGGTGATACTGGGAAACTGGAGTGTCTGAGGGAATTGCTTGTGTGACTTATGGTTAGCCAGTGGGGTGAGACCAAAGTCCTCTCTGTTTGGCTGGTTTGGTGAGCCTTAAGAGTAAAGGACCCCAGCCTTGGGCCGTGACTGGCCTGCTCTAAGCAATTTGTCCTGAATTGATACTCTCAGTTGTGTCCCGCCAGAGGCAGCACCGTTACACCTTGATATTGAGGGTACCTGCATAAAGAGTGTGCAAAGGGTTAATAAAGGCTTCCTACCTGCTTTAAGACATGGCTAATCAATTGTTATGGCGTCCAACAGGTCAATCGGTCGCTCATAACCCTGGCTTATAAGCAGGCTACCACACCTCTAGTGATGTGCTTTATGGGGAGCGAGTGGCACATGCCACTCTCGCTTGTGACATGCTTATAGCCTCCACCAACTCTTTATGAGCGGCTTATAAATGTAGCCTCAATTACATCTAACGGAAACCGTGCTGGAGCCCAAGTCAGCGTCACCGTTGCAAAGAAGACAAATCTATATGGTAATAGAGAACCCGAACTTAGCCCCCAGTTATTGTGGCTCTTCTTAATAATTGATCGTTCATAATAATCATTTGCATTGCGGTAAGAGCGCCAGTTACCGCCCGGGAAGACGGTCCCTGCCCTGGAGAGCTTACAATCTAAGTGCTAAAGTAGCCTGGGTCTAGGGCAGGGGTGGCCAACCTGTGGTTCCGGAGCCACATGTGGCTCTTCAGAAGTTAATATGCGGCTCCTTGCATAGGCACCGACTGCAGGGCTGGAGCGACAGGCGCCAACTTTCCACTGTGCCGGGGGTGGGGGAACTCACTGCTCATCCCCTGGCTCTGCCACAGGCCCTGTCGCTACTCCACCCCTTCCCACGCCCTCCCCTGAGCCTGCCGTGCCCTTGCTCCTCCCCCCCAGAGCCTCCTGAGCCCCACGAAACAGCTGATTGGGAGGTGCGGGGAGGAGGGGGAGGCGCTGATCGGCAGGGCGGCCAGTGGGCAGAAGGCGCTGGGGCGGGGGGTGGAGCTGATGAGGGGCTGCTGACGTATTACTGTGGCTCTTTGGCAATGTCCATTGATAAATTCTGGCTCCTTCTCAGGCTCAGGTTGGCCACCCCTGGTCTAGGGGAAGGGCATAAGGGAGGAGAACAGGGAAAAGGGAAAAAAAAAACCCAACAACAACGACAGGTGATGCCATTGTTTCTGCCTCGCCCTGGTATTTAACTGTTTCATAAGCCCTGGTCGGGAGGCGAATGGGAGAAGTGGTTGGTTCTTCTGGTTTTTCTGCTCTTTAATTGGAATGTCTGACTCTGTGCCAGTGCACATGTGTTGTTAATTAAAGCCTGCTTCTCTCCCGCTCCATCCGCACCCCAATCCCTGCCGAAAACGCTTCACGCATTGCAGGGCCCTGACATCATGTCACCTACTGCGCAAACTACAATCCTGACGGGATGGCAGCCGACGCTCACCCCCGCCCCCACGGCTTATCCAGCTTTCGGCTGGAGAAGGGTGGCAGAGAGGAGGGCCTGGGATGTGCGTGGTGGTGTGTAGCTTTAAGTAGCAGCGCAGCAGGGTCTGGCAAAAACGCACTGTGTAAGGTCCTCCTGTCCGAGTCAGTGGACTCGGAGTTAGCTAGGGGCTGCTTGACTAATCTCAGATCAAGCATTTTCCAATCAGCAAATTCTCTGTGGGGAAAATTTGGTTTTGATGGAGTTTTCTGTTGGGAAAAGCAAAACAAAACATTTCGTTTTTTGATGGACTTGACATTGATCTCTGAGTCCGCCTGAGCACCATGGTGCCAGATGGGAGTCGTAGTTATGAACCCTTCTTGCCTCTACTCTCCCTTATGGGACCTGTTACCTGGCCAGACTACATCTCCCAGGATGCACCCCTCTTGCCCTATGTCTCTGTCATGAAATGTTACCATATTTCTAAATTGAAAATTTTTGGACATTTTGGGTCCATGAAAAGTTTCAACATTTTCATGGACAATGCAGGACCGATGCAAAATGTCAAAACATCAGAATTTCCCAGCTGTTTTTCGAACAGCTCCAGCATCAGGAAACCGAAGTTCTAATCCCTGCTCTGCTGCTGTCTAGTGGTACCTCTCTGTGTCTCAGTTTCTCCATCTGTAAAATGGGGATCAGGATATTTACCCATCTTTGTAAAGGTGCCCTGAGATCTCTGGATGGTAAAAGGTAAATATTATTATAGCAGTCGGGGAAAATATGAGGTAAAGAATGACATTTTCTAAATGCTTGAGAAAAACGTGTGCGAAATCAAGTGCTGGTTGAAGAGTAAAGGAAAAGTCCACCCTTTGAGGCCAGATCCTCAGCTGGTGTGAATCATCCAGGAGCTACATTTATTTTCATCAGCTGAGGAACACGCCTGGAATAAAAGCAGGGAGCTGGCTTCACTATGATTTGTTGGGTCAAATAGTTAAGCACAAGTATTTGCACGATTACCGTGCATTCGAGAAACTTTTCACGAATGCCCCAAAATGCCACGAATTTTTACTCCTGTGGTTTGCTTGGTCTGAAAATTTGCTTTGCAAAGCACATTCACTGTTAATTATTCACGAGTTCCATGAACCATCCCAATGGGGGAACAGATCGAATTAAGCCAGGTGAACGGTGAGTCCATTGTGTGAAAATGGTTTGTTCACAGTGCTGGCTGAAAAGGTACAAATAACCAATATGTTCAAAACCCATAAAGGTTGGGGATGATTTGTCAATCCACAAAGGGGCTGAATTCAGAGGGGCATGACTCTAACTAAAACTAAGACTCCTTTGCATCACTCTGACAGTGTGGGCTTAAATTGCACGTAAATTAGATTAAATAATTACAGCCATTTAAATAATACTAATTTTTATATCTGTGCTCGTCTATAGCACTTTTCAGTAGATCTCAAAATGTTTTACAAACAAACAGCATCGTTATCCCCATTGTACAGATGGGGAAACTGAGGCACGAGGCGGTGAAGTGACTTGGTCAAGGAAATCAAGTAGGCCAGTGACAGAGCCGAGAATAGCCCCTAGGTCTGCGGAGTCCCAGTCCAATACTGTAACCATACTTTTACACTGGTGTAAAATTAGTGTAAGTGAAAGAAGAATCAGGCTCATTAATAGTTGTAAAACCATAATAACTGGACAATACAACAGTTAACCCGGGGTAAAGTCCCACTTTCTAAAGTACACAGATCGGGAGAACATGACAGAAGGGACCCATTTCATAGGGGCTCAGAGAGCACTCCCTTGAAATGAGTGAGGCATTCATTTCTGTGTCAAAATACAATCACTGACTTGTGCAAACAGGGCACTTGTGCATGCAAAAATCCCACATCTGTTCATGCAACTGTGATTTTGTGCGTGCAGATTGGGTAGACAAGCCCTTAGAATCTCTCTCTCTCTGTTTTCCTCTATGGATTTCTATTTGTCTACTTGTCTAAGTTCATTAAGCAGCAAAAAAGTGTGAGCCTTATTTTCAGATCCTGCAGTTCTTGTTGAAAGCTCATCATCTCTCCAAAATCAGACCCTTGAGGTTTTTGAGTATGGACAATAGGAGAAGAAATCTCTTATTATCCACAGTCCATACTGTTGAACTGGTATCTAACAATAGGCTGCAAATTAATCCCTATATTTCCAAAGACCCCCAACAAACTAGGACAAATGGCACCTGCTTCGGATGTTATCCATGGATTTCAACACCTCGGTCAACTCGGACTCCAGCTGTTCTCGCTCGTGGCCGACAGCCCTCATCTCTTGCTTCAGTTTGCTCATGTACTGGTCGTAGAGGAGTTTGATGTCTAACTCGGAACGGGAATTGTCCTGATCTTTCAGAAAGCTCCACCTGATCGTGAGAACCTTGTTCTGCTGCTCCAGGCATTGGACCTGCAGAACGGAATCCAGAGACATTAGTAAGGTTGATGGCGGAAGGCTGATGTGAACCCCTTCAGCCAACACACTAGACATTGAGATTGGGACCTCCAGCAATATAAGGGGAGGGATAGCTCAGCGGTTTGAGCATTAGCCCACTAAACCCAGGGTTATGAGTTCAGTCCTTGAGGGGGCCATTTAGGGATCTGGGGCAAAAAAATTGCTCCTGCTAGTAAAGGCAGGGGACTGGACTTGATGACCTTTCAAGGTCCTTTCCAGCTCTATGAGATAGGTATATCTCCCTATATTAAACCATTACAGCTTGAGGGACACAGTTGGGCTCTCAAACAAGGAGCTGTAAAAGAATCCCATCCCATACAAATCAGGCACAGAAGGGCATTACATTGACATATGGAGGCTTTGATTTACTACTTGGTGGTTTCCTGACAAGTCAAATCAGCCTGACAGATCATCACTCAAGTCAGCTGATTAGCACATCCTATTGGACATGTCATCAAAAACTGACAAGTTAAAGACCAAACTATAAAGCTTCAACTCAAAGTTTATTTCTGTCTTCGCATACAGATGTGAAAAGCTGGAGATCTACCAAGGGGACAGACAATCATCTCAACGCCGTCTAGAACAAAAGCCTTAGAAAAATACTAGGTATTAAATGGAATGATTTTATTATGAATGCTGAGATTTGTCAGAGAGTTCGACGACCCCTAAGTGCCAAAGCTTTATACAAAAGAGGCGGGAAATATCTAGGACATGCATAAAGAATGAAGCCAGAGCTTCTACCACGCCATTGGGCAGCTGAAGGAATGCACAAAAAGGGCCAACCAATAGAACACCTCCATCGAACGTTAAAGAGGGAAAACGTATGGGACTGAACAACAGAGAGGACATGCAAAGAGAGGCCCAGGATAGAGGGGAACAGCCGTGGATGGCTGCTGAGAGCACCGTCTAGAGGATGTGGCAAATCAGGGTTCAAATAGCAAAACCAACTCCTGGAAATGGGTAGGAGTGGAGAGAAGAGGCTGGTAGAAGGATCCCAAGACAAGGTCTCATGGATAGAATAAATCTAATCTGTATTGGAATCTTTCCCGCACCATCATATGTCACCTGGGGCATAAACAATACAAGGCACTATCTCCTCTGTGTAAACACCCCTTCTTCTCGATATGAATCTGAAGTCTGGATCACATTCCTGTGAGCCAGTCCAGCGAGTAGCACACCACGCTGGGCTGCAGAAGACCTGAACTCTGCCAGTGACTCCCCCTTCTGTGCCTCAGTTTCCCCTCTATTTAAAGTACTTATTTGGCCACCAGTACTGTAGTATCTGAGCACTCCACAATCTTTGATGCATTTATCCTCACGACACCCCTGTGAGGTAGGACGCTGCTATTGTACCCATTTTACAGTCGGGAGTGAGGCACAGTGAGAAGGGTCTTGCCCAAGGTCACAGAGGAAATCCGAGGTAGAGCAGGGAAATGAACTTGTATCTCCTGAGCATCAGGCTCATGTCCTAGTCACTGGACCATCCTTCCCCCCAGCCTCTGCCCCTTAAGACTGTAAGCTCTTTAGGGACAGAACTGTCTCTTACTATGTGTCCGTGCAGTGCCCGGCGCAACAGGGGCCCCCATCTTGCTACTATACTACAAATTATAACACTATGATAAGACAATTCCTCAGCCCAGTTGGCCTAGTGTGATATTCGCTTCCCTGCAGGTACCAGTAATAACGGTTGGTCCTAAAACATAAATATGGGCCTGATTCGCTGCTGCATCCTTGCAGTGTATGCCGGTGTCACTCCACTGAAATCGGAAGGGTTACTTAGATGATTAGCCCCTTGGGGAAGGGACTGTCTTTTTGATCTGTGTTTGTACAACTAGAGCTGTACTGGGCTGTGACTAGAGTTACTCGGGACTACAGCCATACAATCAATAAATAATAAGAGGCTGACACCGGGGCAAAACTGGAGTAATGTCGTGTGAATCAGGTTCCGACGTTTGCACCGCAAAGGGCCGTGCACAGCTACGGAGCTACATACGGTCACCGCAAGAATGACAGACCCTGTGTCCTGTCAGCGGGCGTGCATCTCGGTGTGGGTGAGTGCACGGTTTTTGATCGTCCAGCCTCCATTCTAACTTGGCACACTCCCATACTCGCGGTGATGGCCGTTCGGCTCAGCAACGACGCGGCGCTTTTCAGCCTCAAAGCGCTTCCATTAGCGATTTATTCGCCAGCTCTCCTCTCTCCGCTCCGCGCACAAAACAAATTGCTTTAATTGTACTTAATTTGGCGGGTGAGAGCTGCCAATTGCCGTCAATGCTGTGAAGCGGCCGTTAAGTCAGCTGAGGGGATGGCTCACCCATGCGTCCTCTCTGAAGGATAGTAACAGCATCATCTGTGCAAACTTGCCAGCTCCTGCCCATCCAATAGGTTCAGCAGCTGAGGACTGATTTAACTTCCTTTGCCCAGGGGTAGAAAAATGCGCTGGCCATTGGGACAAGATCTTCTAACAGAGGGTGGTTTATCTGCTTAGTTTGTCCCTGGTTCAGCTGTCAGCAGCCACGGAACGACCCCCGTGATCTGCCTTCTTCTTTACATTACAGCGGTGTCTCGAGGCTGCAGCTGAGATCAGGACCCCATTGTGTGAAGCGGTGTTCACACAGGGAGAACCATCCTGCTTTTTCCCATGCTGCCCCTCCATGCTTTGGAGGAACTCCCTGTGAACGTCTGCAAAGCCACCTCATTACCCACCTTCCAAACCCCCCTTAAACCTCTCCTTTGCCATGCGGCCTACAAAGAAGGCCAGACAATGGTTAGGCCGTTGCTTTGCTGAGGTCACTGCCTCTGAGGCTGACCAATATTAGCTGTTTCCTAGTGCCCCACCCCGGCCCTGTCTGCATCCACCTGTTGTCTTTTGTCATATGCTTAGATTGTAAAGCGGCTTAGGTCAGGGACTGTCTTTTTGTCCTGTGTTTTTAGAGCGCCTAGAGCGATGGGAGCCGCTACCATATCACACCTAACCAATAAGGTACAGCACCTAGCGTAACGGGAGTCACTACCTAGCACAATGGGGTCCTGCTCCATGACTAAGGCCCATAGGTGCTACCATAATACAAATAATAAAATAAGAAGCAACATCTACCCTGATGAGCTTACATCTAAACAGAGAAGAAGTGGGAGTGGAAGCAGGCATACAGATGGGAAGTGACTTGTCCAAGAGCACGCAGCAGGCAGAGACAGAAATAGAACCTGGGGCTCCTTGAACCCGACCCAGTGTTCTACCCATTATACCTCGCTGCCTCTCTCCACTGGGCTCCGCACAGGGGGTGCTGAGAAACATCTATCCAATTTGAAGCCTACAGAGGCACCGCTGGAAGCGGCCGGCACAAACACTGAGCCAAGTCCACCCCGTGCCTGCGTGAAAGACACTAGGGACACACTAGGAAAGGCCCCGTTTCGGATGTACAAGGCAGCGGGGCACGGAGAGCCAACCTGGAAAGTGCCACCGACCAAGAGCTCTGTGGCAGAGCTCAGTGAGGAGGAGTCGTGGACAGTGGGGTGGCTGGTGGGCTGGGGAAGTGGCTACCGGGTCTGTGCACAACACAGGGACCCCAAACACCGGCGTGAAAGGGGCATAGGTGGTGGCTGATGCTACTCTTGCTCAGAGGCTCCAGGGATAGCTGAGATCTTGCAGCCTGGGCGTTCTGGTCCTTAAGTCTGGATTGAGGGGAGACCATGCCACTCCCCTGCTTCCAAAGTCACTGGGGCTATTCACAGTGGGACCCAAGATTTGATCTATGGGCCTTAGATGACCATCACTGAGCATAGGGTGGGAGAACCTGCCATACACCTTATCCCTGGAGGTCTCTTGTTTCTGGTTTGCTAAGTATGAACAGGATGAGATGCCGGGGTTGCCTGGGATAGAAGGGATGGTCTCCATGACCCAGGAGGTCCCTTCCAGTCCAATGTCCTGTGTTCCTGTATTCGTTAGGCTGCAGAAAGGGGTCAGAACCGAGAACCCACTAGCCAGCCATTATTTGCCTCCTGTCCAAACACATGTGAGCCACATCCAAAGGAAACCCAGAGTCCGTAGCAGCTTGACCAGGATTCATCATCCTCAGCCGCATGGCAGATCCCAAAGGTGCGTGGCCTCCTGACTGGGAATGGTCAACCCCCTACCTCCCAGCTATGGCCATAGCGACTCCCCTATGGCCCGTGTGGCATTTGACTGAGGTCATGTGAATTCCAGAGGCACATTCGCAACTGTATGTTACATTTCTCTGCCAATGGGTTGAAATTCACCCCTGTGTAGAAGGCCAGTGGGAGATGGCCGCCATCTTGGCTGACATACCAGAGATCTCCAGAGCTAGAAGCCCTTGAGCTAAAGAGCCAATGCACCCTAGCTAGGGTTGTACCAGACTCTCATGTGGGTCAGACACAGAAGAGGCCCTGTAATACACGCTCACCAGCGGGATTCGTAGGCGCCACTTAAGGCCAGTTTTGAGGGTTTAAGTGGCGCCTGGGTCTTGTGGTGGACTCTCTGCCCAGGGGTGAATTTCCTATGTACCAGATTTCATTCTCAGGGCTGGCACCTGAAAAAGTGCAATGCACAGATCGTCACATTGGCACACTCCAGCGGGCAGCCGTGCCTGCCTGGATGCCCAATGGCACACGGAAACACGGGCTGTGCAGACGCAGTTTAGGCAGATGCTGTTGAAAACAGAGCCCCACGGTACTAGTTCATACCCATATGAGCACTGTTGTTTTTTTTAAAATGCAGTAGCTTGGAATTAGCTGCCCACATGATAGACTTCAGTGAAGCAACCCTTTCGGGAGATTACCATCTGTTTACAGAGTCTAAGAGTTTTGCAGGAACCTGCCTCAAGTAGGCGAATTGTTTTGCTTTGAGAAAATCTTCTACCTTCCCCTGGACCTGAGCAGAGGAAAGACTCTCTGCAGGAGAGTTTGCTTAGCAGATCCAGTGACCCTTCCTTTTCCCCCTGTCACTCACCACATTATTGGCTGGTTAGTTTTCTCTCGTTTCAGGCATTAGAAAACAAAACGAGCAGGAACGGTCGGCTATTTTACTGATTGCAGCTGCTGTGTTGGTTCTCTGCCCAGCTACAGGTATGAAGCACCTCCTGCTCCATCTTTTGTCCTCACAGCCCCTGTCTTTGCTGCTTACCCCATAGCTACTTCTATCAGTGGCCGAGTTTCCCTTTTCCCAGGGAGATTACTAGCCGATGGGGATGGACAGGGTCTTTGAAGCAGTGGACTGGGGTACTAGCTAATAATCATGCAAACTTTTGGGAAAATAGGCAGCACGGGAGGAAAGAACTATCCTCGCAACTGGGACATTAGCTAACATTTACAGCAAATCTCTCTTGCCATTGGCACCTCACAGCCCAT